GCACCACTAACGTCTCACAATAAACTGTGAGACTTGTTGTTACTATTTTTGGCATATCGAATACATCACGCGTAGCTGGCCAGGCTTTGCCGTGTGGGCAAGATACTCTGGGTAGATTGCCAGGTTCTCCGAGAGGGGCAGAGGAATCAAACCCGGGTCGACTGCATGCAAGGCATCCTCATGGGCTCATGCAGCCACAGAGAAGCCCTTGTTGTGAAGCCTGCCTTGCTAGGCCCAGACGTCAGGTCCTTATTACCACTGAAAGGGCCAAATTCCTCTGAACTGCCTTGTGAGTGGGACAGGGGAGGAAGGGAAAAGTCGCCCGTGTGGGGCCAGGGAAGTAGAGTCAAGGTCGCCAGCAGGTGCATGGAGCTGGGGTGTGTGCATACCCAAGGAGAGAGTGGCCAAGGGCAGACCAGGCCCAACTCTTTCCCACTGGTGGTGCCACTGTCCCTCACACCTGCAGCGAGTGTGGCTCCCCTTCTCTGCATTCTTCACACACTTGTGCCTTGTTCTCAGTCCTGTTGCGTTGCTACCAGTCAATCAGTCAGGTGACACTCCCTGAGGTTCACGGGACTGATGAGAGCCCTATCCCTGGAGGGGCAGAAGCTCCCCACTCCTCACTCCACGATCCTGAAATTTTTGCTACAGCCACATACAAGTCCAGACCCAGTCAGAGCCAGACCACATTCTCCATTTCAACTCCAGTGTTGGGAACCAGCATTTGTGGTAATAAAATATTGAAACATCTTGTCTGATTCTCTGACCAGAGACCTTATGAGACCAGCTTACACCTCTTCCACAAAGACTTAACACCTTTCCCAGGAGTACACTCTGAGAATGAGGCAATAAATTCTAAAAATTGGCCATCTAATCAGAAGTATTACCTTGAATAGGAGTCATGCAACTTCTTTCGTCTCATGACTGATTTCTCTCTGCCTGTGCCTTTATGACCACGCATGCAGTCTGCAGGCGCAGTTTCTCTTCCTGTTAAGACTAGAGATGATTCCAATGTGGCATGTACCATATCCTGCTTATTCATTCCCCTTTCTGAGCAGATTGTGTGGATTCCACAGCTTGGCATTTGTGAAAACAATGGTTTCTATGAACATGGGGGTAAAAACCCACTTGGCTGTGTCTATAACTATTTTCTGAATAAATGGAAAGTAGAATTGCATTTTTAGATGTTTATAGGAACTGTTTGATCCTTTTCACGCTGACTGCATCACTTCATCTTACCCCATCACAGCCCAAGTTGCCTGTTTCCCCACATCCTTGGGTTAATTTTTGTACAAACATGTTTGCTGTGGACTCAGCACACCTGCAGCCAAGGTTGTTGTGAAGGACCCTGAGGAAACAGGAGCCTTTCCCCAAACACCACAATGTCTCTCTGCAGAAACTCATGAGCAACTTGTCAGACTTTAGCAATTAGCAACTTTCAAAAGGTTTCCCAGAAGTTTCTCAGCATCCCAAGCTGCCCTTGTCACTGGCTCTGCAGGGGAAGTGATAATTGCAGTTCTTCAGGGAGGTGAGGTCACTGCACCACATCTATATCAGGTCTGGCCACCTCCCTTCCAATGACCTGGGCACAGACACATTACATGGAGCTGCTCCCCCTGGAAGCAAGAAGCCCCACAGCCTGCTGTGATGTCAGTGTGGGAGGCAGAGGTCACCCAGGAAGGATGCTGAGTAAGTGCTTGAGACTGGGAGAAACATCCCAGGGCAGAGCTGCAGAACAGAGAGAATTATCCCTTTTCTGGAGTGATGAGCTGGGTGGGAAAAGGAGAGAGTGGCCAAGACCCCCTCACCAGTCTCTGGTATACTCTCTGTAGGTGACCATCATCCTCACAGGCAGGTGACAGGGGACAGTCCCAGGAACAGTCAAACAGATGGTTCAGGGCCAACCCTGTGGTTCCCAAATCCAACTGTTCTCAGTCCAGCACAGCATCAGAGATGAATGGTTGTGTGTTTAAATGGTGCTCAGAGCACCCGCGTCTCAGTCAAGAGTAGAATGAAAGCCTAAGACTTAGTGCATCCATTGGAAACACAAGGGACATATCCAGAATACTTTTCTGAATACGAAGTGTTTTTATCTCCCTCTGGAGATAAAAACACGTCCTCATTTTCACAGGACATCCTCCCACGTCCTCATTTTCACAGGAATTGTTTCCTCCTACATCCTCATTTTCACAGGAATTGTGTTCCTGTGAGAGCATGTGCCGAGAGGTTCATGGCGAAGGAGTGCTCTCTGTGGTGACAGGAGGAGTGTGCATGGCATGACAGTGAGGGTGGTGCAGAGCGGGATGGGGGTCAGCTGCTCACTGTCCTTGATGTTATTTTCTGGGAGCGGTAAGAACACCCAAGTCCAACTTCATAAGACACTTGAGGTTGAAGGTCAGCTTTGAGGTGCAGGGACCCTGGGCACTGAGTCCTATGGGCTCTCTGTGCACACAGGGCATGGGTATGTCCACGGATTCCTGGTCCTAGAGAGCTCCATGTGGGCACCACAGACACAGCTGCTCCCAGTCCACTGCCCTTTACAGCCCCATGGCTGGCTCAGCTCAGGAGAGTAGAAACAATATTTTTTTGTGATAAATATGCTTTCAAAGGCAGCAGCAGTATTAGAGCAACAGTAAAACCTTTTGGATAGCTTCTGTTCTTGTTGTTTTGGGGGGTCTGACCTGGTAAAGCTCTGGATCAGTCCTGGCTCTGCACTCAGGAATTATGCCTGCAACGCTCAGGGACCCTGGGGGATAAAGCACAGGTCAGCCATGCACAAGGCAAGCACCCTCCCCAGCCCTATTTCTCTGGCCCATTTAGGGTCATTTTCTGCTGAATTTCAGGACAGAATCACTAAGCCTATATTTGAGTACCAGGGTCTGACCCGAGCACCACATTGCCCTCATATGTAGACAAATGGCAGCTGAGATGCATTCACAGCAACCACCTTGGGACCCTTAACCCTACCTCCTGCTGTTCAGTGAGGCTTTGTTTGGATATGGACCACACCTGGTGGTTCTTAGGGCTTACTCCTAGCTTTGCACTCAGGGATCAGTCCTGGAGGTCCTGGGGTGCTTTTAGATGTGATGCGGATCTAACCCCACTTGGACATGTGGGCAAGACAAGTGGGTAAGAACCCACTCATCCCTTTAGCTCCCATTTTTTTCTTAGTGAATTTTTCACTTAAAAATCACACAAAGAGAGCTGGAGAGATTCACAGTGGGTAAGGCAGTTGTCCTGGACACACCAACCAGGGGCTGGAGCCTGGCACCGCACAAGGTCCCTGCACCCCTCCAAGAATGATCCCTGAACACTGCTGGGTTGGCCCCATGCCCCCAAAACCCCATAATTATTAGTTCAGTAAAATATGAATCACTCTCTTTTGCTCTCTCTACTGCTCCCCATCTCTCTTGGTTCTCTCCCCCTTGCTCTTCTCTTCCTGACTTCCCCTCACCCTCTTTGTCAAGGTGTCTAACTTTAGGAAAAACCATTTTTGGTGCCACTTCTTAAATTTAATGAATAGAAAGAACTGCTCACAGCAATTGATTACATTCAATATTTTAATACCAATCTGACCATCATTACATATTCACACCAACATTTTTGGAATTTTACCACCACCACCCAAGCCTGCCCCAAAAGCAGATGCTGAATAATTTCTTTTGTATTACTTGTTTGGGATAATTGACTAAAAATCATCTAAAGAGGTTTCCTTACAGGAAAGTTTGTGAAAATTGTTGAATCTCATCTTGGCGCCACTAAGCCCCTGCATTACAGATTATAAACATGGTGTCGGAGTTTGAGTCTTGTGTGCTAACATATACATATATATACATGTATGTACATATTTATTTTTTATTAAGATTGATTTTCTTCTACCTTACACCCCATAAAATGTGGTTTGCTACTCTTGGTATATCAATGGCATAATTGTATGAGGAATTCTAAAATTTTAGATCTAGATCTAGAGTTAAACTTTTTTCAACTGGATGGTCATTTGGGGGTTTGGAGCCATCTCTGCAGCATATTGCTCTCTTCCGAGATTCACTTGTGGGTCTCTGTATCATGGCCTTACTACTATTAAATGGCACCCAAAGGCAGTTCGTGGTCGTGACTGCCAGGAAAGCAGACGTGCAGGGAACTGAAAGAGGAGCCATTTCCAACCTCGGAAGCTGGAGATTTTAGTCACAATTCCGTATGCCTGCGTTTTTCAGTGGATTCAATCTCATGCATGGGGGGCTCAGGGCAAGCCTGTGAAGGTCAGCCGTGAGCCTTTTGGTGATTGGGTTCTGGAGGTTTGCGGATGCTGAGGCTCTTTGGGGGAAGGTGGAGGGACATACCTGCTCCTCCAAGGTGCCTGGAGAGGTTAGCCTGGTGTGGGGTGGGGGACATCTCTGCAGCATGTTTCTCTCTTCTGAGATGCTTTGTGAGAACCGATTTTTGATATATTTTTTTAAATGTGGGTCCACACCCAGCTGTGCTCAAAACTTACTCCTTTCTCTATGTTTAGGAATCACTCCAGGGAGACTCGGAGACCACATGGGATGCTGGATCATCTATGCTTCACGCAAATACCCACCCATCGTACCATTCCCCAGCACCCCAGTTCTTATTTTAACATATTTGTCATTTGCATATTCTTAATATGGCCTCTGCTAATTAAGAGATATATTCTGATTCAAGATTCAGGAAAAAACATGATTAATACGTAAATTTGGTTCAGTAATCTATTCCAGATTGATTTGAATTGGAGGGGACAGTGGTAACTTCTTCTCTGTCTAACACTAGAGAGTTTCAGTTTATTGCCATGACAAGGCATCCTGCCTCCTGTTTCTCGTGCTGGTACATGAATACTTAACCATGTCAAGAAGATTTCATCACATTTCTGATAGTCCCCAAAATATCACAGAAACATCTTCTATCTCTGTCTACCTCTTGAAGTCTGTGGGAACTGCACAGGAACACAGAACCCAACTGATTCTTGGTGTCAGGTGTCTTTAATGAGCCTTCCAGCCTTGAGGAATGCGTGCTGCCCTCTGCCTGGTGACAGTGAGCCCACGGATAGAATCCCCTTCAGGGATGCGGGGGTAGGAGTCGTCATGTTATCACAGATGCTCCTGGGAGCACTGGGGAACTTCTCTCTTCTCTGCCACTACCTTTCCCTTTACCACAGAGAAGGCAGGGTGAGGGCCACAGATTTCATTCTCCTGCACCTGACTGTTTCTAACACCTTGGCAATTGTCTCAAGAGGGGTCCCCCAGACGATGGCAGCTCTGGGACTGAAATATTTCTCCAGTGATTTCGGCTGTGGCTTTCTTTTGTATGTTGAGAGAGTGGGCAAGGGCGTGTCCATTGGCACTACCTGCCTCTTGAGTGTTGTCCAGGCCATTACCATCAGCCCCAGGGACTCCTGCTGGAAAGAGCTGAAAGTCAAAGCTCCCCGAGAAGTCACTGGCTCTGTTTCCCTCTGCTGGATCTTCTCCTTGTCTGTTAATCTCACTTTTCCTATGTACAATTTCTATGTATCTGGAAATTGGAGCATGAAAAACACCACCAAAAAACGTGATTTGGGCTACTGTTATACTTACGAGAATGAGAAAGTCTCAGGCTCCATATATTCAGCATTAATTGTACTGCCTGAAGTATTGCTCTCTGTGCTCATGGTCTGGGCCAACGGCTCTATGATTTTCTTCCTGTATAGGCACAAGCAAAGAGTCCAACACCTTCACAGGAATACTGTTGCCTCCAGACCCTCAGCTGAGTCCAGAGCCACCCACAGAATCCTGGTCCTGGTGAGCTCCTTCGTGTGTTTCCACACACTCTCCTCCTTATTTCATATGTCTGTGGCTCTCCTGATTGATGAAACTGACTGGTTTCAGACTCTCGGAAGCATCATTTTTCTGTGTTTTCCTTCTTTAAGTCCCTTTCTGGTCATGAGATGGAACCCTGCTTCTAGTCATTCACACCTAATTTCTGTTAAGTGAAGTTTGATGTTTATGTACTACACCTGGCAGTGCCAGGGCTTACTCCTAACTTTGCACTCAGGCATTTTCACTCCCTTTGCACTGGAGGGCCAGGGGAACCTTATGAGATTTGTGGATCGAACCCCCATTGGACATGTGTGAAACACAAGTGCCTACCCGCTTTTACTATCCTACAGGCCCCATTTCCACTAAGTCAATGTTTTACTTAAAAAAAATAAAACATACAAAATGTGCTGGAGAGATGCATCATGTAGAGCAGTTGTCCTACACACAGTCAACCTGGAGTCAGACGCTGGCACTCTGATGTCCCCTGTACCTCTCCAAGAGTAATCCCTGAAAGCAGAGCTGTGTTGAAGATGTAAGCACCCCTGGAATGGCCCATAAATGAAAAACAAAATTATGAGTTTGCAAAATGCTGAATCACTCCTTGTGCCCTCTCTCTATTCACTCTCCATCTCTCACCTCCCTTTCCCCCTTCCCCTTCTCTTCCTCACTTCCCCTTGCCCACTTGCCTTTTTCCCTCTCACCTGTTATTTTATTTGGGTTTTTTTTTTTGCTTTTTTGGGTCACACCCGGCGATGCACAGGAGTTACTCCTGGTTCATATACTCAGGAATAATTCCTGGCGGTGCTCGGGGGACCATATGGGATGATGGGAATCGAACCTGGGTCTGCCATGTGCAAGGCAAATGCCCTACCCGCTGTGCTATTGCTCCAGCCCCTCACCTGTTATTTAAATGGAATCACGTGAGTACAGAGTTATAAAGTTGTTCATGATTTTGTCATACTATGTTCTGACACCCATTCTTCACCAGTATCCTGCTACCTTCTACCATTCCTGCTACCAGTGTCCTCAGTACATTCTTCCCCATGGTGCCTATGTGGCAGACAATTTTCTTCTCTATCTCTGTCCATCTCTCTCTGTCTGCCTCTCTCTCTCTCTCATTCTTTCTCTCACCCCAATCTGTATCACTCTACCTCCTGTCAGCACTTAGTTTTTGTCCAAAGTGATCATTTCCAACTATCATTGTCATAGTGGTTTCTTCTCTGTCCTACCCGCACTCCCCCTTTCACTTTGTAGCAGCTTCCTACCAAAAACCAATCTTCCAGGTCCTTGTTTCTACTGTTTAGGTATTTTATTGTAAAATTTTGCTTTTTATTTGTATTACCAGGAAACGAGTGCAATAATTCCATTTCTGTCCCTCTTCCTCTGACTGATTTCACTCAGCATAACATGCTCCAGGCCATTCATATATAAACAACTTTTATGACTTCACTTTCCTAATGGGCTGGAGGGATAGCACAGTGGAAAGGCGTTTGCCTTGAACGCAGCCAACATGGCCTACCCGAGTTCGATTCCTCCACCCCTCTTGGAGAGCCCGGCAAGCTACCGAGAGTATCTCACCCGCACAGCACAGTCTAGCAAGCTACCCGTGAGGTACTCGATATGCCAAACACAGTAACAACAAGTCTCATGATGGAGACATTACTGGGCCTGCTCAAGCAAATCGATGAACAACGGGAGGACCGTGACCGTGACCGTGACTTTCCTAACATCTGTGCAGTATTCAATTCTGCAGAGATACCATCATTTCTTTATCCAGTCGTCTGTTCTCAGGCACTCGAGTTGTTTCCAGATTCTGGCTATTGTGAATAGTGCCACAATGAACAAAGCAGTGCAGATGGGGTTTCTGCATTGTATGTTTGGGCCACTAGTCACCCCCTAGGTCTTTGTGTCTGGTTTGATGAGAGCCAGTTCTTGATTTTATTTTAATTTAGGGCCACACCCAACTATGCTCAGGGCTTAACTCCTGGCTTTTTGATCACCCTAGGCTAGCTCAGAGACCATACTGGGTGCTGGGGATCGAACCTGGGATGGCTGTGCCCAAGTGACCCATCATACTGTCTTTAGCATCCCAGTTCTTCATTTTTAAATAATTATCATTTCAATATCCTTAATATGTTCTCTGCCAATTGAGAGATATATTCTGATTAAAGATTCAGAAAAAAAAGTCTTCTTAATAGAAAACAGAAAACTATGATTCATGTGTGTACTTTGGTTCAGTAATCTATTCCAGAATAAACTCAGTTGAGGGGACAATACTCGCTTTTCCTTCTCTGACACTAGACAGTTTCAGTTTATTCCCATGACAACACGCCATGCCTCTGTTCCTGTTCCTTTTTTATTAATACTTAGCCTTGTGAGGAGTATTTTGCTCATGTATGACACTCCCATGAGAATTACTGGAATATTTTCCATTGTTTTCTGACAACTGAAATCTTTGGGAACTGCACAGGAGCACAGAACCCAACTGATTCTTGGTGTCAGGTACTTTTAAAGAGTCTTCCAGTCATGAGGAATTCATGCTGTACTCTGCCTGGTGACAGTGAGCCCACAAACAGGATCCCCTTCAGGGATGCAGTGGCAGTGAACCTCAATGTAATTCCAGTTGCTCCTGGGAGCACTGGGGAACTTCTCTCTTCTCTGCCATTACCTGTCCCTTTACCACAAAGAAGGCAGAGTGAGGACAACAGATTTTATTCTCCTGCTCTTGACTGTTTCCAACTCCTTGGCCACTCCCTGGTCTCAAAAGGAGCCCCCCAGACAATTGCAACTCTGGGGCTGAAACACTTTCTTGGATATTTAGGATGCTTCCTTCTTTGATATGTTCAGCAAGTGGCCAGGTGTCTGACTGTTAGCACCACCTGCCTCTTAAGTGTCGTCCAGACCATTCCCATCAGCCCCTGGTACTCCTCCTGGAAGGATCTGAAAGTCAAAGCTCCCCAGAAAGTCACCAGCTCCGTTTCCCTCTGACCTGCCAGATATGATCCCTGAGTTTATCTATTTAGGAGCTATAGCACAGCGGTAGGGTGTTTGCCTTGCACGCAGCCAACATGGTTGACCCGAGTTCGATTCCTCCGCCCCTTTCAGAGAGCCTGGCAAGCTTCCAAGAGTATCTCGCCCTCACGGCAGAGCCTGGCAAGCTACCCATGATGTATTCGATATGCCAAACACAGTAACAACAAAGTCTCCAATGGAGACTTTACTGGGCCCGCTCGAGCAAATCGATGAACAACGGGAGGACAGTGATGGACGGTGAATGTAGGAATACTCATATCCTTTATTATTCATTTTTCTCATTTTTCCTATATATAAGCTCTATGAATCAAGGAAATGAGTTTGAGAAATACCACCAAGAAACGTTATTTGAGTTACTGTTGTATTACCAGTGATCACAGTGTCTCTGGTCTAGTATCTGACATTAATTGTATTCCCCGAAGTTTTGTTTTCTGTGCTCATAATCTGGGTCAATGGCTCTGTGATTTTCTTCCTGTACAGGCACAAGCAAAGAGTCCAACACCTTCACAAGAATCAAGTTTCCTATAGACCCTCAGTTGAGTTAGAGCCACCCACAGAATCCTGGTTCTGGTGAGCTCCTTCTTGTGTTTCTAGACACTCACCATATTCTTCAATATGTGTTTGACTCTTGTTAAAGATGGTAAAGGATTGTTGGTTGATATTTCAAACATCATTTCTCTGTGTTTTCCTGCTGTGAGAGCCCCTTTCTGGTCATGAGATGTGACTCCACTGTTTTCAGATCATTCTTTGCCCTGAATGATCAAATCCCGTAATCACACACTCAAATAGTTTATTTTTTTGTATTATATTCAGTCATTTACTCAAGCATATATCGTTAGGCAAGTAAATTACTCAGAGAAATTAGAATCTGAAGAGCAAGCAACAGATCCAAGAACTGTTGAGTTCTGTCTCAGGTGTAAGGTGGAACGCCAGTGAGGCCCAGGAGGTCAGGAAAGTAGCAGGTCTCAATCCCCCTGCCCTGTGTGTCATTCACCTTCATTAAAATACTGCTGGAGGAGAATGGAGTCCACTGGCTATAACTCCTCATCCTGAATCACAGTGAATGGACTAAATGGACCTTGTGACTATGGGAAGATTATTCAGAAGTGAGTAGAGAGATCCGATGCGCATCCACCTGTGTGTTCTCAATTGATTCTCATGTGTTCGCACATCTATGGACAGAAATAGAAACAAGTTTTGTTATGACGAGATGTTTTTCAGAGAGATTCTACAGAAAAGAAAGAGAACCTGAGAGATCAGATGGCACGTAGGACACTTACCTTGGATGAGGCTCATGGAAGTTCAAACCGAGCACACGGATGATCTGCAAGACTTGCCAGGAATGATCCCTGAGTTGATTTATTTATTGTTTTATAATGTAGGAGTACTGCTATTTATTCAGCCACTGATTAAGCTGACTGAAGCAGACCTGAATTTCAAATTACTTTATTATTTAATTTTCTTAAATGAATATCTGTGAGATAGACTATTACCAAGCTGTTCATAATTAGGCTTTAGTCATACAATGATCCAGTAACCATCCCTCTACCAGTGTACATTTCCCACCACTAATGCCCCCTGCTTCCCTTCCACCATCCCCCATCACCCCATCCCCGACCCCCAGCCTCCCTCTATGGGAGGCATTCTCCTTCTTGCTCTCCCTCTTTTTCCTTTTGTGCATTATAATTTGCAATACAGGAACTAAGAGGTCATATATTTGTTCAGGATATTCAGTAGTTTTAATCGGGTTGGTAAGGCTGGAGTAGCTTTTGAACTGGGTAGAGCTTTTGGGTCTTGGTGTGACTCCCTAGGCTTCCGGAAGTACAGGGACATGGGGGCGAGACAAGTAGTCCATCCTGACCCAAAAAAGCCTGGAGATTTCAGTCACAAAACTCACATACCAGAATTTTCAGCAGATTATGTCTCAGTGTGGCCTGTTTTGAGAAAGTGGAGTCAGTCTAGGGGTATTGCAATGATTTTGGATTGTGGAAGCAAGAGGCTGCAGGTGGCTCTGCTTAGACTGGCACCAGTATGACCCGCCTCCACCTCTGATTTACCCGAGTCTGTTTAGCCATGAAAGGGTCCAGATTAACTGCAGCTTTTGATCTCATTTGAGATTTATTTATGGGTCTCTGAAATAA